GGGAGCGAGCAGCACTGCTTGAAATCTGCTCAGCAGGAAGTGACAGTGCGAGATCAGCACTGCAATTTGTTTGCTGTCAGCCATACGGGGGAAGAGAGGCAACTGCACAGCTCCCGACCTGTCAGCTGCAATATTTTTCTAGATAAAACCACGTATCTAGCGTTCCCAATGTGTTTTTTCGTTGTGGCTGGCATTAAAGCGGTGTGTTGCAGTTTCCATTACTGACCTTTGTTTTCAGGCATTTGGGAATCTATGTTTAGGACACTGAGGAACAGTTGAGGTTTTTCCTTTTCATTTTGTCCTTTCTTTTTTATCTCCCAAGCCCAGGATGGTGATGGTGGAGCAGAGCTGCTGCACAGGGCTTGTAAAGGAACGCTCCCCTCCCTGTCTCTGTGTTAATGGAGGTAGAGCAGGAGGGGCAGGCACACATGGAGTATGGCTTCATGCTGGCTGGATGACTGTGGAACAGGTGCTTGCACTGCTTTGCTGGACCTGCTGCCTCTGCTAGTTGCTGTTAGTGGATGCTTGGACTCGTGGAACTCGGTGCCTGCACGGCTCTGTCTGATTTCATGTTGTGCTTAGCAGTGACTGCACATCTGGTGCATTATCTTTCAGAACATGTGACTCTAATGTGGAACATCCAAAGGAAAGCAAAGTGAGGGAGGGGATGTGACCAGAGAGCTGCTGGGATGGCAGAACTGGGTGTGCACCAGTCTGTGTGCTTGTTGTGTGAGAATCACAGAATCATAGAATGGCCTGGGTTGAAAAGGACCACAATGATCATCCAGTTTCAATTCCCCTGCTGTGTGCAGGGTCTCCAATCACCACCAGCCCAAGCTGCTCAGAGCCACATCCAGCCTGGCCTTGAATGCCTGCAGGGATGGGGCATCCACAGCCTCCTTGGTTAATCTGTTCCACCCTCTGTGTGAAAAACTTCCTCCTGAGGCTGTGGGCGATGCCTTGCCAGTGGCTTTTGAGGAATCTCCTGGAAGTTTGTGCTGCAGGGCACCTGCACCATTCTTACTTGGATGGCGCAAGTGCTCCCTCATTAGCTGAAACCCAACAGGATTAATTGTGGAGATGGCTGCAACGTAAGCTGCTGCATTTAAGCTGATAAAGGTCCCTGTGCTCAATGAGGTTGTTTTTTTGTTTTTTTTTTTAAAGCAAAAGATCTTTCAATCTGTGTATGCCAGCTCTAATTTTAAAAGCAGCTTTTAGTGTGGGAATATTAAAGTAACCCTTCAGAACCAGGGCACATCTGGTGAGTGTCACAAGCCCAAAGGCATAATGACTCCCTGCCATGTGTCACAGAAATCCTTCGCCTCCAGTGGGAGGTTTTACACAGCATAGGATAGAAAGCAAATGGAGACAGGCAGTGAGACCCACTGGCTGTGCAGGAAACATGGGATTTCTTGCTCTCTGTTGCCCTTGCAGTGGGGAAGGCAGTATTTGTTGGTAAATCAGTGGTCGTGGGATTATGTATTGCTGATGAGCAACCTCTGTGCCACTGAAGTGTGTTCAAATGTAGAAATGTATAGAAAGATGTTTACGGTCAGATTGGGTTTTGTTGGGCTTTATGAAGTGGAAAACACTGATTGTTAATAGAAAAGATTAATAGTATGTGTCTGAAATATAGCAACGTTGTGAAATCCCATCCTAGAACGAGAGGTGTTGAGATAACTGATTTCAAGTCTTTCAGGTGCTCCTCTTGGATAAATGGGGTGCTGGGAGTTGGCTGATGTGATTCATGTCTGTGCACAAGCTCTCTGCAGCTGTTTGGAGCTCAGGTGTTACACAATCTCTGGGCAGTGGAGCAAAGGTGCTGCAGCACGTGGCAGTGCAGTCAGGTAGGGAGCAGCTGCTGTTGACCCATGTAAGGTGTTTTGTGGGCATAAGCCTTAGCCATGTGGGTTTGTTGCCTTTAGGAAACGATGTGCAGCTTTCCTTTGTCACCTGGTCCACAGAGCTCTTCTTCAAAATGATGTATTTGTGGTTTGGATCTCTGGTAAATGCAAGTAATTGCATTTTAAGGTGAGCTTTGAGTGGCTAATGTGGACGCATCCATAACTGTTCCCCTTTCTGGCGTTCTTCCAGCTTCTATCTTTTGGTAACATTGCTTTATACCTGGATTAACTTGTTTTCTTATCTGCACGGCCTCGATTGCTTTGCAGGCATCTGAATGGGGATGTCATCTTTGTTTCTGCTGCTGGCGGGCAGCCAGGTGTGCCTCTCTTCCTTGAACTCATGAGTCAGGCTTTGCTCTGCCCATGGTTGCTGCCAGGTTGTGTTCCTTGGCTTTGTGGGGCCGTTGCAAAGCGATGCTTCTCCCTGCTCAGCGTGCTGCTTGTCAGCATCCGGAGCACGAGGCCTGCAGGACTGATATTAAGAAAAATAGGGTCATAATTTTCTTTTATCTGCCACCTTGTAGTTCTTTATCCCCAGTGAATGCAGCAGAATTTCCTACAAAGGAGTGAGAATCCATTTTGCCACGCAGCCGAATCACTCGCTGGTTGGAGCAAGCAAGGCTTTGTGTGCAGAATGGTCAGCTGGGGAGTGGCAAAGTGCTGCAGGGGTGGTGTGGTCCTGGGGCTGTCAGCAGTGGAGAAGCTGAGCTGAAGCACACAGGGTCAGTAGGAGGAGTGCAGAAGCTGCGTTTGGTCTCAGCTCCCAGGAGGCTGTGAGTCTCTGTTGGGAGCTGAAGGATTTGGGGGAAAAAGTACCACGTGAGTTATGAGTCAAGTAGCTTACAGTTCTTCTGGTGTTGATGGTTGATTACATATATGATATTTGAAGCTTTTAAAATGCACATATGCATGCTGTTGCAACAGCTGCTACTATCCTAGCTTGAAAATATGGAGCTTGAAATTGGTCATTTGGGAGAGGCAAATTTTGCTCTGTCTGAATGGGTGTAATTCTGCGTAATTGCACAGAGACACTGGAGGTGGTTGTTTAAAAATGTTTATAATTCTCCTATTAAAAATGAAAAAAACTCAAAATTTTAGTGCATTTAGCATCCACAGAGTTGCTGTTTCTTTAGAGACTCTTGCTGTTTGGTTTGTCACATCGCAGGTGGTAAAAAGCAGCAGCACAAACATGAAGTTGGCCTGCTGAGGGTGATGGGGAGTGCTGGAGCTGTTAGGTGTGTGTCCTCTGTTGCTGACACTGGTGCAATGAATAATCCAGATCCTAATCCTGTATCTTTGATTCTTATTGTAAAATAAGCAATATATTTCCAGCTTAAAAGAGAAACCCATTTAATCAAGCTCATTTAACTTTATTAAATGCTGCTGTGAAACGATGAGCAGAGCGTTTGTTGATGGATGGAGGCTGGCCTGGTGAAGAAGCCTGTTGGATGGTGTTGGATGCAGGAATTTGGCACTTGCAGGTTTGCTTAGCTGCTGCCATGGCTGCGATGGGCAGCGGGGATTCGTTGCTGGAGGGAGGAGAGGAGGATGCTCTCCCATGGTCTGGGTGCTCACACACATGTCTGTGCTTGTATGAGATGAGATCTCTTCTGGGAACTTGTGCTCCGTGGCTTTAGGCTTTTTAATTCAAGGAATTGCCTACCACTAAGTAGTAGTTGTGTTCAGGGGATTTTCTTTTGACGAACAGGAAGGCCTGGGTAACCTTTTCCCATTTCTCTGTTAAAAGCCTGAGCCATTTGAGCTGTCGCAGCAGGGTTTGGGTGACAGCTGAAGTGATTGCTTTTAGCTGTTTGCTGGCTCTCTGGGGATGGGGCTGAGGCAAGCTGGGGCTGTCAGCGAGGAGCTCCTTGCAGTGCAGAAATCAAGGTGACCTTCTGCCTGGCTTTGATGCTCATGTGCTCTGACACCAACCTGATTTGTAACCTCCTGCAGACCAGCATCTCTCCAGGGCGGCACGGAAAGCCTGGGTCAGTCAAACCAAAACGCCTCCGTGCTGCAATTCCTTCCACTGGGTGTGCAAACTGAGCTGTCCCAGATTTGCACACTTACATTGAGACTGAGAATCGAAGAAGGTGAAGATACAGAGAAGGAAGATGAAGGAAAAATAATTCCATACGTAGACGTGAAGTGAGCAGTCGAGAAGCCGGAGCCATTTCGTGCTCTCCCTTCTGGTCCTGTGGCAGAAATGGGTGTCTGTGGTGTAAGCACAACAGGATGCCAGGTTGTGAAGCAGGGTGTTAGCTGTGCTTCCAAATGCATCTTCTGACACTCTAAGACTTGAATATTTCTCTGTAGAAATATTGAGGTTCAGGGGGAATCCCTCCCAGAACAGCTGGGGTTCTTGGTGTCTTCTGAGGGCAGCAGATACCACCAGGGCTGCCCTTGGATAGCTGCTTGGCTGGGGGAGCATGGCTTTCTCAGGTCGTTATCCTTAATCAGGCAGTTCTTTCTCCTCTGTGGGTAGTTTCATTCTGAGGCACTGCTTCTGGAGCACTTATTGCTGAGGCTTTTTTAAATACCTTATTTTGCAGCAACCTTGTAGGGTCTCCGATTGTCAAAAGCAAGCCAAAATAATGACTCTGTTTCTGTCGTGTCAAATGTAATTGGAGAAAGCACAGCTCTTCCCCGAGGTAAACCTAATTCAGTGTGCTGCATTTCATCTGCGATGGGTTGCCTTGGTTTTCTTTACAATTAGAGAAAATATGTTGGTGCTGGGTCCTTAATACCAGGTTAACCACAAAAGATTTGATTAGTTTCCCGTCTTACTTTGGTCTGGTTCATAGGCTGTGACGTGGTCATTTTATTAACCAGGTTCAGAATGGGCCTCGTATGACTTCCTTTTGTTTTCCTAGCAAAATGTCTGCTCGAATCAAAATGATGCAGCTAATTCCCTTATTTATCATCATAAAGCATCTAGTTTCTATTTATGGATCACACTTGGAATAAATTATGTTATGCAAATGAAATGGTGGCTCTTTCCAAGCATAGGCTGTTTTTAATTTATCCTGTTTTCATGTTCTTTCTTTGAGGTACAGAAGTTAATTTCCATTATTTTAAAATCTTGTTTTTTTAAAGATTGCGTATATATTGAAAGCCGCCGGCCGAATACGCCGTATTTCATCTGCAGCATTCAAGACTTCAAACTGGTAAGAAACATTTTTCACATCTCCTCCTCCTCCTCCTCCTTTTCCCCACCCCTTCTGCAGTGAGGTGCAATGCCTGGTGGTCTGTGCCTCGTCCCACAGCTCCCCAGTCATCCCAGTAGCTTCTGAAAGAGTCATTCTGCTCTTAAGGCTGAGATCTGCGCTCGTGCAGCTGCAGTTAATCAGGCTGTAGAGTTCAAGTTGTGCTCTGCTTCGTGACAAGGGTTTGTAACTCATAGGAGATCCAGCTCTGCTGGTGGGAGCAGCGGTTGGGATGGGACAGCAGTGGCTGCTGGTGGGTTTGGGGGAGCACAGGCTGTGCTGAGCTGTCTGCACCATCAGCGTGTGACCTGCAGCTGGACGTCCCACTGCCCTGCCTTCAGAGCTCAGCCCTGCTTAGACAACCCTCATCCATCAGCAGGTCCCTTTGTGTTGGGATGGAATTATGAAGCAGCAAAACCTGCCCAGAACAGCAACCACTGAGTTGCATTAGTTCCCCGGGGTGTTAACAGCAAAAGCTAAAGTTTCTGCTTGGTGCTATTGGTCTAATGCAGCAGTTACAGCTGTTTGCAGAGCTGTGCGGGCATTTTGCACCATGTTTTAGTTTTCAGTAGGCAAAGGATATGACATCAGTGTTGCTGGCAATCTAGTGCATTTTCACATGGAAATAGTATCATTCCTTTGTTTTCCTTTGCCTACTCTAATTCCTTTAATTTGCCTGCTGGGTTTTTCTTACTGACATAATATGTAAAAAAAAAAATCTTGTAGAAATGATAAAACCGAAAAAAAGAGCAAAAAGCCACCAAAGCCCTTTGATGCTGATGGTGCAAAGATGAGTCTTCAGTGCATTTGTCACTGTTGATTTTACTGCTGGGGAGAGGAAAGTTGTACAGTGGAAAGGACACTTGATTTCTCCTCTCCTAGTGCCAGATAGCAACAGGAACACAGCCCTGTTTTGCCTTCAGCTCAGCGTGTCAAGTGGAGCAGGGAAGAAAAAGTCAACAGCTTTGAAATGTCGCCTGCTAATTAAGTACGTTATCATTTGGGTTATCATAAAGCAAAAGTTTTTGGCTGTGTGTACGACTCAGCCTTTCCTTCCTATTGCTCTACACGCTGTTCAGGTGCAAAACTGGGTTTTTACATTTTTTTTTCCCCACATAGGAGGAATGTAAGCTTGCGTTTTAAAAGGAAAAGGTGTGATAGTCAAATTTTCAAGGTTTTTTTTGTTGTTCAGAACAGTGTGATATGAAAGGTTCTGCAGGATACAAACTAACGTGCCCTTAGGGGAGCTTTCATTTGTCTTTTTTTTGGTGGAAGATGACACAGCAGGTACAAATCCACTTGCTTTTACTTAGCCTTGCCTCTCCACGACAGTTGCTGTGAAAATCTCCCCTTCTGAATATACAAATCCTTTCTAGCTCAGTCTTACTTTAGGATCCAAGCAAACCCTGTGCTTGCTTAGGAATCAAGCAAAGGGAGTCAGGAGTGAGGTAACAGTGTTCTGAAGGTATAATGTCTCGGGGCTGTTCTGCTATTTTCATCTGCATGAACTTTGCTTTAGAAAGCTGATGGTATGCAGGTGCTGGGGGCAGAGAACTGGTGTGCACATTGCAGCTTCTGGCTGCATGCTGAGATCTGAGTGCTGGGTTCAGAAAGCAGCTGCCCAGTGCAGGGGCCTTTTGGCTTTAGAAGCTGTAGGATTTGGGGATGGATGGGGGAAGGGTGGAAGGGAAAACATGCAGAGATTTGTCTATCTTCATTTTTTGGTCAAATAACAAGAGTAAGCTTGGTCCAGTTTCTCTTGAACCCTGTGTCCTTCCTTATTCCATTCGGCCAAGAGATTAAAATCTCTTTTCTTAGGTCATACTTCTCAGCTTCTGCCTTCTAATCCATTTTGCCTTTGCATGATTAAGAATTTACTTGCACTTCTTGCATCTCTGGTGGGCACTAGCTGCACTGAGAGCAACCTGCAGTGGCTGCATGGATTTTGACAAACTTTGCATTTGTTCCATGTGTCAGCATCTCCAGAAGATTGCCATCACCTCTCAGATACTGTGCTGGGGACAGTGATGCAGTGGTAGAGATGTGGTGGTCATGGCAAAGCGTGCCTGTGGTAGAAGGGCATTCTCTAGGAAGCCTGTGAGCTCTTTGACAGTCAGCAGAACCCAGCATAAAAGGGAATGTTATTGATTGTTCTGTAGAGGCCAAGAACGCTGCCAAGCCCGCTGTAGCCTGATCTGAACCAGATCTAGTTGGCAGAGCTTCCTCTGTGCAGATCTATTAAGTTCCAGAGAGGCACAGATCTAATACAGTGCAGTAATAGAGCTGCAGGGGGAGGGGAAAAAAAAAGTACAGGTTTCCAGACAATGTTATTACTTGAACTTTTTTTTTTTACTCTACCAGATGTCTTCACTAATGGGCTTTTTTGTTAATTTAGCTTTGATGAGGTAGCACTGGTTTCAGTGTGATTTAAGCTTCATGCTGGGGATGCTCAGGTTTGTGCCCAGCAGCGCTGTGCACTGCTGACAGCACAGCCCTGGGGTGCTGAGAGCTTGCAAACACGTGTGACCTCACATTGGACTGAAAGCTTTGCTCCTGCTGCAGCACCTCGTGCTGTTTGAGTAACTGGGGTCTGCAGAAGGGGAACAGCAGGAGAAGGACCAGGAGGTTGGTCAGCAGCAGCCACACATGGCTGTGCCCCCCAGCCCAGCACTGAGCGGCTGCTGGTGCTGCTAACAAGCTGCCTGCATCCGTGCCACAGGCTAATACACCTTGCCCTCTGCTAGTAATAGCCATGATAAATCTGCTCTCTAATCCTGTCCTGTTTAAACCTTTCTTGATATGAATTTCCAGTGTTTGATAAATGAGCCCAGATTTCCTTTTTCAGGTTTTCCTTTTTTCCTCCGAGAGCCCAACTGGCAAATGGGTTTTAGCAGCATGCTTCTGATTTATCATGTTTCAACTTAATTTGGTGTCACATTTAAAATGCTAATGGGCTCCACTTTGAATCTGAGCATCAGAGAGAAACTTGCGGTGCTTTTAAAGCAGAAAAATGGTGAATTTGCCTTATGAAAGAAAACATTATTATTTGTGATGCGGTTGCCCTTTGTGCCTGTGTGTTTACTTGATTGAAGCATCTTGACGGCGCTGCTTTCTCCTTGAAGCCTGATTTGAATGGAGCGTGCAGCTGGATTGCCCCAGGGCCTTGTAGCAATTTATAGTCGGGATGGAAAGGCAGAAGTGCATAAAAAGACAGTTGTGAAGAGCCGCTAGTGCCCTGTAATAGAAAATCTGTGTATGATGACCTTGTCTGTGAGGGCCTCTGGGATCGTTTTACTGTGATCCAAAGGGTTATAAAATGGAAAGGATTGCATCTCACTGGGAATAAAGAGGGAAGAAGAAAAGAAATCTGTTTTTTCTAAATTATGCGGTGTGTGCTTCCTCTCCTTTGTATTCTTCCTACATCCAGCCCCGTGTGTTAGCAGCACTTACAGCGGGGATCTGGCACTCTCTGTGCTTGTATAGGCGCTGATGCTTTGAATGCAAATATCTGGGTGAGGATGCTGTAGCCACAAGCGTTGATGTATTTAAAAGCCTCGCTGTGTTTGTAGATGAATTGATGTTCTGTTCCCGAACCACGGCTGAATTAATTTGCGGCTAATTTTTCCTGGCCGGTTACGAGGCAGCCTGACCTTTCCATTTTGGTGTGGAAAAAACTGCTGATGAATATAGATTCTGCCTTCTCCAGGTGGGTCTCCCCTTTGCAGCTGGGACCGGCTGAAAGATGTCCTTTCTCCCCCGGTTCCCATCCTGCACTCACCCTGGGCACTGCAGGACACCAGGCTGTGCGCTGCCGGGAGGCGGATGGATGGGTGAGACGTTTGAAGGAGCACTGAATTATTTAAGCTCCAGAATTTAGACTGCAAATGAGATTGGCTGTTACGTCTAATGTGGAGCAGATTGAAATGCTGCTGTGATTACAGAGGGGCACGCGTGGGGCAGGAGATTAGTATGAAAATGTGGGCGTGGGGGGCTCGGAGGGGAGCAGCGAGGAATGATGGAGAATCAGAGGTGACAGTTTAAGGATTGCATGGCAGGAGCTGCACGGTGATTAAATTCACTGATGCTGTCATTGAGCTGTAAGGCTGAAGATAACATTCTCTCCCTGTGCCGAAAACAAGAATCAATACAAACTCCTTGACAGGAGCTAAATTATTAAATAGAGCCTTTCTTGCAATGTTTCATTATCTGGGATTTACCTCAGCTGGTGATTTGTCAGCGGAGCGGGGAGATTTGCTGGGCATTTTGTATTTAAATCATTCCAGATGCATATGAATCCATTTTGATAATTCCCTTCCCTTTTAAAATGCTTCTTGATAGATTTGTGATTCGCTTTTGCCCAGATGACACTTGGAATTTTTGCACAGATTGGAGCTGTGCTGTGCAATAGGGTGAGGGCTCCTCACGTCCGTGTAACGAAAAGTGTGTGTGTAGCATCAGGCTGTTCTTAAGTGCCAAATTGATTTGCCTGCCTTTGGTGTGTTAAATTAGCAAGCTGTTGGGAATGCCTTTCAGCTGGGGTTGAGCTGTAGGAAGAAGAGTGAGGCTGCTCTGGGTTTGGGGGTTAATGTTCACTGAACTTGATAGAAAAATAAAGCAGTGTTCTTGCTCCTGTTGTTTGCTTTCTGAAGGCAGGGCAGAGCCCGGCTCTCCTGCAAGAGCTGAGCCAGCGTGTCTTGGGCTGCAGAGCTGCTCACAGAGCTGTGCTGTGCTGGCAGCCATCTCTATCTCCATCCATGGCATTTTACTGTCAAGTCAAGAGCATTGAGGATTCTGGGGGGTTTTCTGTTCTGTTGGTTTTTTTTTCTGCATAGATTTGACAGTGCAGTGCCCCGTTGCAACCGAATTCATTTCCTGTGGAACGGTGTCCTATGTCACAACAGCATCATTGCCTTTTGGAAGGGGAGACAGCGTTCACATTTGGGATTTCAGGCAGATGGGAA